AAAACAAATAAAAAAAATCAGGGCTACATGTAAAGCTGACATAAATCCAGATTGCTCCATTGACTCTAGATGACAGATTATAGTATTTAGGGGAATCCAGTTACCCACCAGGAGGAGATTGTCATTTCTACTATCTACCCAGTTTTCCTCCCATTTACACTGATGTACTTTTAATCTAGTCCAAATTACAATAGTGTAAGTGAAATAAGAATTATGCCCTAACAATCTCCCTTTCCACGTATAGTAACTGCCCCTCTATCTGATATTACAGTCAAGCTGCTATGTGATGCCATTACTTGGCTGCAGGCTTAACTTGCAAGAATCACTCAGAGGATTTTCAACCAAATATAAATTCTTCACCTTTCAGTTATTGGTTCACATCCAACCAAGATCAGTGGTGAATGAAATAAAGCCATTACTATCAGGGCCATAATGAATAGCTGGTCTCACTCCAGTTCTTGTGAACAAATGTCCATGTGAAAAAAAACGACCAGTGGTTCTCTTTGGGCAGTCTCAGCAGAGGCCAATATTTGAATGGGCACAAAAGCACTTTGGCAAAGCAGAGCAGGGAAGCTCACATTGTTGCTGCCTGTGGACAAATAGGGGATTTCTTTCTGCACATCTTTCAGTCCCGCAACTACAACAACAGGAGCTGTACTTATGAAGAAAGACTTAAAAGTTAACCATTTTTATTTTATTTTTGTTTGTGTGTGGTGTCAAATTATGTTGTATCCCACATATCAACCAAACACACCATGAAAAGCAAGGAAATAAGCAGTAAACGCATCCAACACCCCTCTCATAAACCTCAAATAACTCCCCTTCCACCACCCACAGCCCACATATTTCCACTCTCATCCCAAACATGGGCATATTCTTGCTGCTTACCATGCCCCTCCTACTTCCCTCCCAGACTCAGTAGTACCAGAGTCAATTGGTTTAAACGTTTAAGAGCTAAACATGGGAGAGGAGTATGACTGGGCAGCCCCATCTGGAGCACCCTTCTGTGGCAGAACACAGCCTGACAGGCATCTGTGCCTCAGTTTCCTCTCTCAGATAACCCAATAACTCCATGCAAGCTTATCCTCTAGTCCATCCGCACGGTTTATTACCAGACACAGTTTATTTAATCCTGAATGAAGTCTCAACACATATAGTTCATTTCTCACCCCAGTGCAAACAGTCATTAAGACCACCCAACATCTCATCCAGTAACATCCCATACATCACACACCGACATCTTCAAACATGCTCACACTCTCTGTCAATCCTCCCCTGTCCTTGTACCAGAACAGCCACCCTCACCCTTCCAACTGGAGTGCAACCCCACTTTTCCCAATGAGAACCCTCACAGCCTCTCTGCTGGGGAGCCTCCTTGCCAAGGGAGCATCCCTTACCCCTCCTGCCCTCTCCTAGTTCCTCTGGATTCAGCTCTCCGCCCCTGGAGAGGTCAGCAGGTGAACTCTTCTGCTGCTGCCCCGCATTCAGCCCTCTCTGGCCCTTGGTTCCAGCTCTCTGGCTTAGACCCAGCAGGCACCTCCTTCGGCTACTGGTCCTCCTGCCTTCATCCCTCTATCTCTAGTTCTCTGACTTGGGGACCACCACTCAGCAAACCCCTCTTGCTGCTCTCCTACCTTCACCCTTCTCCTAGGTCCCAAACATACAGTCTCTGGAAGCTCTCAGCTGCCCTTTCCTCACTGATTCTATTCACTAGCTGTGTCTCTGATACTCCATAGACCCCAGGTGCTAGCCCGCCCTCTTAGCTGGCCAAATGGGAGAACTGTTTTGGTACAGGGATGCTGGACCTACTTCATAGAGAGGGGCCAGCCACCCTGTGACAGGGAGCATGATGAGTACCAGGGATCATGTGGGGTTGCTGTGGGCCCTGAGAGAAGCATGGGGGACATCTGTGTTGGAATTATGGGAAGAGGAAGCATGATGTGCAAGTGAAGCTGTGAGGGCGCACAGCACCTAGCACAATGGGGTCTTGGTCCATGACCGCAGCTTTTAGGTACTACCACTATACAGATAACAAATAGGGACGTGTCTGACAGAGATGGGAGGAAAATGGGATACGAGTTGAAGAGGGCGGTGTATATCAGAGGTGGAGGAGAGAAGTTATCTGCTCTGATGATCCATAGGTGGGGGTAAAGGGAGACTGTATGTGGGAATACTGCAGCTGAGCAGGTGGCCTGAAGTAGAGAGTAGTTCAGTGCTTCTGTACTAAGGTACCGTTGCTTGAAGGGTTTCCTTCGCACTTCAAGGCAGTAATGTCACTGGGAGTCATTGACATGCCACTACCTTGGCAACGAGACTCTCAACTCCTAAGACTTTGCTCCTGGGCGCGATATATTCAAGCCCAGGCATCCATGCTTGAAGCTGATGGCTCAGCTTTCCAGCACACCAAGCCAGCTGTACTGATGGAGAGCCCTTTAAGTACCAATATCTTGGCACAACCACTGGGCTCTTCCCGTTACAGGGACCCTACAAAGCTCTGGCCACCCCAGTTCAGTCCCCAGCACACACACACCTCTACCTCTTCACCCTCGGCCCAAATAATGCCCCAATCACCGTCATACAGTGGCCACATTTCAAGACAGTGCATGTTTTTCATTTAAGAGAACACTTTTTCTACAGGGAAATAGAAATGAAAGTTTCTATCAGAGAAAAGTGTGTTTGATGGAGAGATCTGAGTGAAAGAGTGGTCAATGCTTTAAGAGAGGAAGTTTGGAGCACAAAGGACAGAAGACAATTCTTCTCTCACTCTGTCTTAAGAGGGGATGGTGATTTACAAGGAGTAGCAGGAGGGGAAGCAATTATCATACTGCAGAGTTATAGACGCTTCAATTTAACTCTTACTTTGGGCCTAACTTCCATCCCTCTTCATTAGCAATTATTTTCCTGGTGGCAAATCAATCTCTCCTCTCAGGAAAAGAGAATGTGGCCCTCATTCTCAACCTTAGTTTTCATTCCTCCTCTCTCAATTATCCTCTATCTGAAGCCTTCTTCCCTCTCTCTTTTTTACTACATGTTCCACTCCCTACCCTTCTCTTTGAGCACAAACTCGCCTCCGCTTCAGGACTCATGCACTAATTCGGGGATCTGCAACCTTTGGCACGCGGCCCATTAGGGAAATCTGCTGGCGGGCCGGGATGGTTTGTCCACAGGTTCGGCCGATCACAGCTCCCACTGGCTGCGGTTCGCCGTTCCAGGCCAATGGGGGCTGTGGGAAGCGGTATGGGCCGAGGGATATCATCTTAGCTATGCTTTTTATGTAGCCTGTTGTAAAACTAGGCAAATATCTAGATAAGTTGATACTCCCTGGAAGACGTCTGAGTAGCCCCAGGGGAACACATACCCCTGGTTGAGAACTACTGGCTTAGGACACATCCCTGCCATTGGTGTCTCCCATTGGCTAGTTTAGGGAGCTTCACCCCTAGTGAGCAAGCTTTTGTGCATTGCGTTCTAAGTTGCCTCTCTCTCCCTGAGCATTGTATAGGGAGCCTAGGCTCCTGACTTGGCTTACTGCAGGGATCTCAAACTCAAATCACCACGAGGGCCACATGAGGACTACTACATTGGCCCGAGGGCCGCATCACTAAAAGCTTTAAGAGTAATATAGTATGCTATTAAAAGTCAATGTATTAACTTTTTTAAAACTGTAATGCGAAGAGGGGTTTTAATAAAACATAAACACTCAGTAATGCACCTCACTCAAATGACAAAACATGCATTTACTTTTATAATTACTTCGGCTAAAGCCCCCCACTCTGCCCCCGGTCTTGACCCCACTCCACCCCTTCCATGAGGCCCTGCCCCAACTCCGCCCCCTCTCTGCCCCTATTCCAACCCCTTCCCCAAATCCCTGTCCCAGCCCCGCCTCCTCCCCTGAGTGTGCAGCATCCCCATTCCTCCCCCTCCCTCCTGGAAAGTCCTAAGCGCCGCCAAACAGTTGTTTGGTGGCAGGAAGTGGTGGGAGGTAGGCGGAGGAGCGGGGAGGCAGCACGCTGGGGAGGGGGAGGGGGGAGAGGGGAGCTTGGTTGCTGGTGGAGTCAGCGCCTATGGTGGGCCGCAGGAAATAATGTGGCTCGTGTGTTTGAGACCCCTGGCTTAGTGGATCTCAGTGCTGATCCTGTGATTTTCTAGACATCTAAAAGTAAAATGCTGTGTGATGCCCAGCATTGCAACGCCTAAGTCCCTTTGTCAGTCCCACCTTTTGTTTATAGGGACTTGGGCCATGGAGTTTTTCTTCTTGTTTTATAGAGGCATCATGTACATTTAAGAGACTACTTACATAACAAATATTCTGATAAATTTTACCTTTAGAATTAGTAATATCACAGAAAAAATATTATGACTAGTAACATTATTACTACATCGATTTTACTGAATGCCTAACTGCATAAAATTAGTTCTTGCAATATTGTTATAACATGAGAAATTTAATGCAGTATTATTCTACAATTAGTATATCTGCATCGTCATTGTGTAAGAATTACTGTACACAATATTACTCTATAATGTATTATTCCAGCACTATTATTGTAGGCAATACATTGCTACAATTAGTATTTTTTTTCTTGTACCATTGTTGTATGAGAATACACTGCAGGCAACATCATCCGGTAAGGCAGTGTTGTTTCTTCCGCTGTGATAATCGTCTACATGCAGCACCAGCCTGCAAAGAAGTGTTGCTCTTTGCACGAGCAGGGCTTTGCGTGCGCCGTTCGTTGGGGATTATCTTGAACTGGAATTGATCTGATATCAGGAGACCAGCAGCAGCGTTATCTCCTGCACAGCTACGGAGCCCTGCACTGACCACCCTGCAGGCAGCAGGGTCCCCTGCACGGCAGCTCCCATTGCATTATCCCCATGCATGGCACGGGAGGCCGGGGTCAGGGCCCCGCCCTAGTAGGAAAGCGCTGGGCAGCAGCCGAGCGGGCCGCCCCGCTCGGGAGCATGGATGGAAAGCCCCGGGCCGGACCCCCCCCGGCACCTACCTTCCCCCGCGCCCAGCATGTCCGCGGTCATTGGGCTGCACGCGCCGGCTGCCGAGCAGCGTCTGCCAGGCCGGGCGGAAGGAGGGTGCGTCCCGGCTTCTTCCGTCCGGCAGCGAGAGCTCAGAGTCCGGGGCGGGGCGGGGCAGCCTGGCGCGCGCTGTGTCACGGCCGCGCGACGCGTCTCTCCAGGGGCTCTGGGCGGGATGGGCGTCCAGGGATGTGATGGCGGCAGCGCATCGCTCTCCCCCCACCAGGGCGCCCCGGTGACAGCTGGAATTAGGTCCCTGGGATAGGGTCCCCATGGTGGCAGCTGGCGTAGCCCTCGGGGACAGCAGCAGGCACCTGGCACCCTCCTGCATATCCCACACAGGGGCACTGGCACCCCAACGCATGACCCTACTGCCCCCCCTGCGAAGAGCCCTTGGCAGCATGGCCTGACTGCCTGCATATCCTCACAGGGGAAAAGAAACCCCACTGGTGCAACCTGCATGCCCCTTTCCAGTGACTAGCAGTGCCCGAAGGTGTCCTGTCTGGGACCTGCCCCAGGGTGACTGGCAGTACTTTTTAACCCGTCAAGGCCCAAAAACACTATGTGACAGACTCGAAAAGAGGGACACAAAAATTATTCATGCAGAGAACTTAAAATTCTGTGGGATTCCTTCCTTTCATATGAGGACCTCTTTCTATATCTTCAGTTTCATATTTTTTATTCATTGTTAATTAGTTTTAGCAATAAAAGGGAGTGGACACAAAATTTGTAGTAATTTTGGGATTATAATGAATAAGATTCCTTCAAATGAGGGACATTTGAGAATTATGAGCAGCTCTGACTAAAGTTTCCCTTTCTGGAATCCATAGTTTGATGACTGGCATTACCTTGCTTCCTTTTTTGAGGCTCAGTTTATCAAAAAGTTCAAAGGGCAACCTGGGCCCTAGTCTACTCCTGATCAAAGTACTATCTTGTAGTCCCCGGATTACAAATCTTGACTGTCAGCAGAAAGCTAGATGCAGTGATGAAATGTTTTTCATTTAAGATAACACTTTTTCTACAGGGAAATAGAAATGAAAGTTTCTGTCAGAGAAACATACGCTGTTGGAACCTTCTGGAATTTTCCACTCTAAATTTAAACTACATCATTCCTGTCTCTGCTATTTTGACATAGTGAATGCCAGTGAAAATGAGGTGGGATCAGAGGCTAAAATAGGGAAAGAACAAGTTAAAAATTACTTTGACAAGTTAAATGTCTTCAAGTCACCAGGGCCTCAAGAAATGCATCTAGAATTCTCAAGGAGCTGACTGAGGAGATATCTGAGCCATTAGCGATTATCTTTTAAAAGACATGGAAGACGTGAGAAATTCCAGAAGACTGGAAAAGGGCAATCATAGTGCCAATCTGTAAAAAGGGATATAAGGACAACCTGGGGAATTACAGATCAGTCATCTTAACTTCTGTACCCGGAAAGAAAATGGAGCGAATAATTAATCAATTTGCAAACGTCTAGACGATAATAAGGTGATAAGTAACAATCAGCATGAATTTGTCAAGAACAAATCGTGTCAAACCAATCTGATAGCTTTCTTTGACAGGGTAACAAGCCTTGTGGATGGGGGGAAGTGGTAGATGTGGTATATCTTGAATTTAGTAAAGCTTTTGATACTGTCTCACATGACCTTCTCATAAAAAAACTAGGGAAATGCGACCTAGATGGAGCTACTATAAGGTGGGTGCATAACTGGTTGGAAAACCATTCCCAGAGGGTAGTTATCCCAGTGGTTTTCAGTCGTGTGGGAAGGGCATAATGAGTGGGGTCCCACAGGGATCAGTTCTGGGTCCAGTTCTGTTCAACATCTTCATCAACAATTTAGATAATGGCATAGAGAGTACACATAAAGTTTTTAGATGATACCAAGCTGGGAGGAGTTGCAAGTGCTTTGGAGGATAGGATTAAAATTCAAAATGCTCTGGACAAACTGGAGAAATGGTCTGAAGTAAATAGGATGAAATTCAATAAGGACAAAGCAAAGTACTGCATTTAGGAAGGAACAATCAGTTGCACACATACAAAATGGTAAATGACTGCCTAGGAAGGAGTACTGCAGAAAGGGATCTGGGAGTCATAGTGGACCACAAGCTAAATATGAATCCATAGTGTAACACTTTTGCAAAAAAAGTAAACATCATTCTAGGATATATTAGCAGGAGTAGTGTAAGCAAGACATGAGAAGTAATTCTTCTGCTCTACTCTGTGCTGATTAGGCCTCAACTGGAGTATTGTGTCCAGTTCTGGGTGCTACATTTCAGGAAAGATGTGGACAAATTGGAGAAAGTCCAGAATAGGACAAGAAGCAATGGGCTTAAATTGCAGTAAGGGAGGTTTAGGTTGGACATTAGGAAAAACTTCCTAACTGTCAGGGTGGTTAAGCACTGGAATAAATTGCCTACGGAGGTTGTGGAATCTCCATCATTGGAGTTTTTAAAGAGCAGGTTAGACAAACACCTGTCAGGGATGGTCTAGGTAATACTTAGTCCTGCCATGAGTGCAGAGGACTGGACTAGATGACCTCTTGAGATCACTTCCAGTCCTATGATTCTATGATTTTGATCTGCCATGTTGGATTTTCTATTTTTAAACTATCATTAATTTCTACTTATTTAGAGTCTTAATCTTAAAAGTAATTATCATTTTATGCAAATCAAAGTGTCCTGATACTGTCACCATCCTAATTATGTCAACTGGGAGAAGTGAATTTTATGGTATTTTTAAACCCCCTCTGAGGTTTTTCTGCAATCCTCTGTTAAGGTGCTGCAAGATATCGCAGAACATTCAAAGCAAAATCTCTCGTTACAGTCCCCTCCTTGCTGGGTTTGCAAACTTCTTTATAAATCCAGCATTTCATAATTTTGTGAGTCCAATAAGTGTGTGGTCTTGTCCAGTGTTGGCTCAAGGGTTTCCTTTGTAGGAAACTGAGCTGACATGTCTTCGTACTGGCACGATTCCTCACCACTCTTGATTCTCACTTTGGTCACACTCGCCTGTGTGCCATAGTAATTTCTTTTAAGACTGAGGGTCTGCATATGCTTTAGCTGCCTGAAATTCCATTTGATCCAGCCCACCAAAATAATGAGCATAATAACCATTATAATTTGAAATGCCAATATTATCACAATAGGGTGTGGAATTATTTTTAAAAATCCTGTAGTTGTGGGAGACCATCCCAAAAACACTTCCCACCAGTTGTGTTTAGCACTTCTTAAATATTCAATTATTTGTTTTCATTTCTTAGTGGAGTGGTGAACAGTAATCATAACTCTTTGTGCATTTTCTTGAGCTTTTTTAAATTATTTTTGCAATTCAGAGTGGCTTATCAATTGCTTAACTAAGCTCATATTTAATCCTAAAGGTATCGATTCAATTCTTTCATATAGCTGGAATTGATCTTTAATTTCTTCATTTTCAATTTTGGGTAATGTGATCTTGAAATTGCAACCAATAACTGAGGTAACGTTACACAAGCATTTGTTCTCATAAGGATTATGAGTTATATTGTATATATTCTCATAAGGATTATGAGTTATATTGTATATATGATTTACTTTAAACAATGTACACCAACTTCTGATACATACACATTTTCTTTTGATGTATACAACAATTGATCCATTAAACGGAAAAGGATGTAACTGATAATGGCATTTTCCTCTTTCTTTATTTATAATGATTGCATCATTATTGCAAACATATCCAATTCCACATTCCTCCATACAAGCCTCAAGTTCAACAGTTTTCCATGTCTGATTTTGTTTTGGTTGCATTAATATTTAACCCCAGTGTTACAATAGGAGATATCCATTCAATTTGGGCATTGCACCATAATTATATATGTAGCAACTTGATTTAATTGAGGATTGTATGTGGAGTTCACCATCTTCCATCAGGAATAGAGTCTTTTCTCAGCCTCAGTGGCATATTTCCACATTATACTTCTTATTTCTAGAGGTAAACTTTTATGTAACCTGTTGTAAAACTAGGCAAATATCTAGATAAGTTGATAGCAAACGATTGCTGTTCCCAAATCAACCAACCCAAATTATAAGTTTTGTAAATTTCGCCTCCCAATTGTAATAGTGATTGGTTGACTCAGCAGGACATGGAGCTGCCTCTTAAATCCAGTATCGAGCATGATTCTATTCCTGGTGGCAGATGCTGTAAGATTATCTCCCTCTATGTTGGTATTCAGAATGGAGATGGATGATCCGGTGTTAAAATAACACAATACCTCCACGTTCATGTTTGGTAGAATTATAACCACCGGGACCAAAAGTCGCCTCTCTCGTTACCATTAGTCTTACAATTACTAAGTCCAGCAAATTCTCCTTGTCCTCTCCATTCCAACTGACTCACTGTCCCTGTCTTCTTCCTCCCAATATTCCACCATGGTTATCTTTCTTATCTGGTTTATCCCTTTCTAATTCTTTCTCCCTATGAAACAAAATTACTAGTTATTATTGCAGGAGTGGGCAAACTATGGCCCGGGGGCCAGATCCAGCCCCTCAGGGCTTTGGATCCGGCCCATGGTATTGCCACCCCCGTGGCGCCATGGGCCCCGCGCCACTCTGGGGAGCGGCCGGCACCACGTCCCTGCAGCCCCTGGGGGAGTGGGGGCAGAGGGCTAAGCACGCTACCCTTGCCGGTGGGTACCTCCCCCGAAGCTCCCATTGGCTGGAAATGGGGAACCGCGGCCATTGGGAGCTTCGGGGGAGGTGCCCACAGGCAAGAGCAGCGTGCGGAGCCCTCTGCATCCCCTCCCCCAGGGGCCGTAGGGACGTGGTGCCAGCCGCTTCCCATAGCGGCGTGGGGCTGGCGCCAGGGCAGGGAGCCTGCCCTGGCCCGGGTGCATGCTGTTGTCACCCCGGAGTCACTCCAGGTAAGTGGCGCCGGGCCAGAGCCCACACCCCAAACCCCTCCTGCACCCCGCACCCCAAATCCCTGCCCTGAGCCCCCTCCCTGCACCCCAATTCCCTGCTACACCCTGCACCCTTTCTGCACCCCTGCCCTGAGCCCCCTGCTGCACTTAGCACCACTCTTACACCCCAAC